AAGTAAACTTCAACATACTCAACCATGAAGGAAAATCGCCGACAAATATAAGATTTTACCGTGTATCAATCTTTTCAACAAGAACCACTTCCCGTAAATTTGAATTTAAACCACAGCCACTACGTAGATCCCGAAGGAAACTCAACCAACTGACCAGCCAGGATAAAGTCTTGCGAGCAATTGGCCAACCGAAGTGCTAGATTATGTGGTGCTCTGGTTCGACCCCATGTCAAATAATTCCAAGGAAAGGCCAAGAATATATTTGATCATTGCCAGTGTATAGCCCCGGCAGATTAGAGGTACTGGCAGCACATCTTTTCCTCGGGATTGCAATATACCAAGATGGGGTCTGGCCACCCGAAGTTCCAGATTATATGGTGCCCTGGTTCGACCCCATGTCAAATAAGTCCAAGGAAAGGCCGAGGATACCTATGATCATTACCAGTCTATATTCCCAGCAGATTAGTACTGTACTGGTAGCACATCTTTACACCGGGATTGCAATACACCAAGAAGGGGTCCCCGAAGAACTCAGAGAGTTACAATTTGGAGCGGCACAGCACAACATTTCGTCTATAGGTGATTGCTATATAGCCGTGATTACGGACTATTCGTGGATTGAAATGAACGATATAACACAGGCCAAATTGATGAATTGAGATTGGTAGAACTTTCAGACGATATGAAAAATGTTATAAATAAAGTCGAATTCGCGCTGTTATAATATGGCGAAAAACGAGGTTTACTCAAACTTTACGATGAGTAACTTTAAGATGAGTAACTAAACGATCTAAGCTCTTTCAAAGTCCATTTAAATACTATACTGTATAGTTATGACTTTCGTAGAGACTTTCTCCAGCTACCAGATGTTGTTTATAACTTTTTGTCTGTCTGTTAATTGATATTCATTATATATATGATTATACCTATTCTTTACTAGAGCCCAGTATGTTTGAACAGACTCGTTTAAGGGTTTAAATGTGGGAGCATAATTTCTGACATTACACCTATGAACAACCATATAAGTATTGTTCATAATATTGGTCCCAGATTCCGTGGTATTAAAATTTCACAATTTTGCGATCGTAGTATGAGATAGGAGAGAATTCTAGTCGGACTTCGGACAAATACATATTTGTTATTAAAATGTCTATGGTTTTTAAAGAAACAAATGTATAATTATTCGAATTTTCAAAACCCAAATTATTTTAAAGGCCTACATTATGAATTAAGTAAATAATTAGAAAATATTTATACTGTATTTTGTAAAAGGCTAGTAGAAAGTGATTATCATAAACAAAACCAATAAAAAGATATAAATGATAAAAACAAACAACTAAATATAGTTTTTTTACAAAATGAGCAATAACTTAAACGAAATGATCGGTAACAGCAAGAGTGGGAGAGTGTGACTGTATATTAAAGCTCTGAAGAAACTTCTTGGTCAATTAATGAGCAAATAATAAAAAGAAATACAAAATCAAAACAAAAAACCAGAGAGAATTATTGCAATTACAATAAATCGTTAATTTATGGAGAGCTTTTGTAATCAAGCCAGTTATTTTATATATTTTTTTCTTTTTATTACTTTTTACCATAAAAAAACTCTTTTTCTAAAGATTTGTTTATATTCGTTGACTGTGGTTGTTTTTGTACGTTTTATTTTTTGTTTTTGTATTCTGCCTTTTTTTATTTATTTGTTATTCAAATGCAGAAAAACAACTACTGGTTTTTAGATGTTTTTTAAATTTTTTTTTAACATTTACACATACATACTTATAGACAAACATACAAGCATATCAATATATATATATATATTTTTTGGTACTCTCAGTTTGTAATTTTTGTTTTTTTACTCTTTTTTATTTATTTTCATTTTTAGTATTCGACAAAAAAAAAACACATCTCTGTGTACAATTAAATGGAGGAATATGAAAACAAACCAACATTAAGACAAGCGGCCATATCGTCATTACATCAGACGACCATTCAGTCTATCAGTCAGCGAGGCAGACTGCCAGCCAGCCAGCCAGTCAGCTTGCCAGATGTGTTAAAGAGAATAGTTGTTGTATTAGCAGTGGAAGTAGTTGTGATCCATCGTTAAAAGGCAAACAAACAAAATCAAAACAAGTACCACACATTCAACTTCACTCTATAGTTTTTCTATAAGAGAAAAACATTCATACATAACTATGTAAGTGCGTATGCCTATATGTATATGTATAGGTTTCAATACCCTATAATGGGTAGCATCAGTAAATTTGTTTAAAACCTGGGTCGAAATTACCGCATAAGTGATCGTATAAAAATTTATCGTAATTTTCCTTTTTGAAAGGCTGACAATCGTTATAGAAGAAGAAATCTAGTTTAATATCGATATAAACATGAAATGGAAAACTTATTCGATCATGTAATTAACGGTAATTCAGGTCCTGACGCCTTTAAATTTAGTGCTGGAACGACACTATACTAGTTTTTCTAGAAAGTGCCAACGCACGTCCCCATACTACCTGTTATACGTCTGTGCCTATTTCAACACTTTAAACATGGTAGAAGGAGTTACCAGAAGTCTCACTATGCATGGTAAATCGTCAAAGGTCCTCGAGAGCACCAAAGTCCAAACGTTAATTCGCCGATGTAATTTATGATCTGTCATGAAAATCAGAAAACAATAGTCTACAAGAAGAAGAGTGATTGAATTTGTGTTGAATAGCTTCCGACTTTAACTCATAATATTGGGAAGTCATTCACTTTTATTCTCACAAAACATGCAACCTAATTACACATAGAATAGTCGGGTTGTTACATTATATTCCGGTCGCATCTATCTGGAAGCTTCCAAAGTCCAAACTTTCAAATTGTATCGTAATCAAAGATAGGTCTCCTATTCTATTACGAAAATCGGAATTGATGCGAAATTAACGAATTGGAGATTATAAGATAAACTCTAATTGGGTGCTATTCCCATATTTTCTTGCAACAAAATGGCTACAAGTTATGATGAGTTGAATGTAACTTCAAATCAAAACCTCAAGTAGTGCGATATCATCATGATCTGTGACTATAAACTCAGAAGCGTTTATCTTGATGGGTTCCAAATTTATAATCCACATTTTTCACTTACTTTATAAAGATATCAGACAGTTAGATTTTGTAATCCATCATAAAAACCAAACAACAAATTCATTAAATTCTGTAATATATTACTCCGTCAGTTTAAACTTTACTGAGCCTGATATATGAAAGATTGATCCAATCAGATCAGAAGGCAAGAGTATACATTGAATTACCAAAATTTCGATTTTGGGATGCTCCAAAATTGAGACATTGAAGTTTATCCAATGTTGTGATAAGCCGTATGCAAATGACTATACACCCGACAATGGACTAGACCATAAACTTCACTCTAGACTAGCCTATAGACTAGACTATAGACTGGACTATAGTCTAGACCATAGACAAGACTTCAGACTAGACTATAGACTAGACTATAGAATACACTATAGACTAGACTATAGACTAGACTATAGACTAGACTATAGACTAGACTATAGACTAGACTATAGACTAGATTATAGACTACACTATAGACTAGACTATAGACTAGACTATAGACTAGACTATAGACTAGACTATAGACTAGACTATAGACTAGACTATAGACTAGACTATAGACTAGACTATAGACTAGACTATAGACTAGACTATAGACTAGACTATAGACTAGACTATAGACTAGACTATAGACTAGACTATAGACTAGACTATAGACTAGACTATAGACTAGACTATAGACTAGACTATAGACTAGACTATAGACTAGACTATAGACTAGACTATAGACTAGACTATAGACTAGACTATAGACTAGACTATAGACTAGACTATAGACTAGACTATAGACTAGACTATAGACTAGACTATAGACTAGACTATAGACTAGACTATAGACTAGACTATAGACTAGACTATAGACTAGACTATAGACTAGACTATAGACTAGACTATAGACTAGACTACAGACTAGACTAGACTATAGACTAGACTATAGACTAGACTATAGACTAGACTATAGATAGACTAGACTATAGACTAGACTATAGACTAGACTATAGACTAGACTATAGACTAGACTATAGACTAGACTATAGACTAGACTATAGACTAGACTATAGACTAGACTATAGACTAGACTATAGACTAGACTATAGACTAGACTATAGACTAGACTATAGACTAGACTATAGACTAGACTATAGACTAGACTTTAGACTAGACTATAGACTAGACTATAGACTAGACTATAGACTAGACTATAGACTAGACTATAGACTAGACTATAGACTAGACTTTAGACTAGACTATAGACTAGACTAGACTAGACTATAGACTAGACTATAGACTAGACTATAGACTAGACTATAGACTAGACTATAGACTAGATTATATAAAGCAAGCTGGCATGAAAGCTTTTAGGGAAGCTCTTGGCTTATCTCTGTTTTCTAGAGTAATTGTTACTCATTCTGATATGAGTATGAGTTGGTCAATTTGCTAAAGCCCTAATCGCTTTATTGCAATCTCTGATATTTAACAGCTCTATTGTAGTACAATGACCCAAATAAAAAAAAACGCTTAGCAGCGTATTAGTATTTCGTTCTTGACCGATCGTAGCTTTTTTATTTGTTTTCATTTTTTTGATTTACTCATACTAAGTTCCTCCATATGGAGGAGCAGACAAACTTATGATTATTTTGTTTTTCTTTTTTTTTTGTGTATTTTTTTGTTTTTGCTTTTTATATTATTTTTGTTTGTGTTTTTTTGTATTTCTACTTGCTTTAACTGCTTAAATACACAATCTAACGCACATACAAATTTACACTGGGCTACATATAGAAAGCGATAAATTTACTCAAATGGTCGTGTGTACAGCTGAAATGTTTTTATGTTGGCTGGTGTTGAACTGAGCAGTATTGACGAGTATAAAAGTCTCACCACACAGCTGTTAACTAGTTAGTTGCTTTGAAACACTGCTGATATTCACAACACACCAAAAACCAAAATACAACAAAAATAAAGAACCCCATAGATAAGATACTTTTCGTTTTTCTTTTTCCCAATATCGAAGAAGTAGAAAATACAATTTATAGAAAAAAAATTAACAACAAAAACCAATCAACCACAACGAATAATATATAAAAATTGTGTGTCTTTAACTATTTATCAGTATCAGAACGTATTTACTAGTAGAGTACCACTGTGCCGTTGGGACCTCAAGAACTTTGAAAATTTTTCGTTACTAAAGAAATAGAAATTTTGAAATCATTTGAAGAACTACTGCACGAATATCAGAGAGCGTGTCTAAATTGAAACAACTCAAAGTTCAACTAACAGCTAAAAAAATTATATTTTTTATTCTGTTCAATAATAAAAAAGGAAAAAATAATTAAATTAATAAAAAAAAAGTTTAAATGAATAAAGTGGCCATTTAATTTATTGTTACAAACAACAATTCCACATTTAAAATGATCAAAACTTAAAAAAAAAAAATTAAAAACAAAATAAATTTATTCAAGTTTATAATAAACTCAGTTTAATTTATGCGTAATTAAAAAAAAATAATATAATTTAAATAAAAAATAAGCCTGCCTGCCAGTTGTGATATAAATAGAATTGTAATAATAAAAAAAACAAAAACATTTTAATTTAATATAATTAAAAAAAATAAATAAAATTAATAATAAAAATCTAAAAATCAACAATATGGAAGTTTTGACAGTACAAAATCAGTACAATGATCAACATTATAATGAAATTTCCACAACCAGAATTAAAAGTAAGTAAATTAAACAATAAAATTTTAAATAATTTAATTAAATGTAAAATTTAGTGAAATGTTTCAAAAGGCACGTGTTATCTTGTTTTTTTTTTTTTGTTTCTTTAAACAAAAAAACAAATTTGGTGTTTTTTTAAATTAGGCCTTGACATATATTTTTTTCTTTTATTTAAAGTACATATTTTTTTCATTTATTAATTTATTATTTTATCAAGAATTTAATTATTTGACGTCACTTTGTTTATAGTTTTAGTTTTTTTTTTCATAAGGATTAAAATCTTATCAATTTTTTTAATGTTTGCGAATATCTAAAGTTTTCTTTCATTGATTAGTTTGATTTTAATTTTTGAATTTAATTTTGTGTTCAATTCATAATTTTCAGTTTGACACCCACTTGTTGTTGAAATCTAAGATTATTTTGATTTCGTTTTGTAAATCTAGTTTTTAATAAATTATTTTCTGACATGTTTTGAATATTTGAATAAATTTGTAATATTTTTGGGTGTTTTTTAGGCATAAATTAGTTATATATATTATTTTGATACTTTATTTCAAAATTAAGATTATTTTTATAAATTTCTTTAAAATAACAAACAAAAGATGTGAAATATTTTAGAACATTAAAATGGTTTTAAATATACTTTTCCTAAACTCAGTCTCTATAATCTGAACAATTTTAATATATTTTTTTTTTCAATTTTACAAATTTTTTTTAAATATTCTCGATAATTCAGTAAAAATTTATCAAAAATTTTTTGTAATTTGAACATTTTTAAAAGAATTACAATTTTTAATTTTGAACATTTATCAAACATTTGCTATAAATTAAAAATTGATCAAGATTTTCTATAAATTTAAAATTTATCCAAAAAATTTTATACATTTTTTTAATTAATGAAAATTTTCAGAGTTTTTTCTGAACAGTCAGTTCAGATAGATAGATAGATAGATAGATAGATAGATAGATAGATAGATAGATAGATAGATAGATAGATAGTTAGATAGATAGATAGATAGATAGATAGATAGATAGATAGATAGATAGATAGATAGATAGATAGATAGATAGATAGATAGATAGATAGATAGATAGATAGATAGATAGATAGATAGATAGATAGATAGATAGATAGATAGATAGATAGATAGATAGATAGATAGATAGATAGATAGATAGATAGATAGATAGATAGATAGATAGATAGATAGATAGATAGATAGATAGATAGATAGATAGATAGATAGATAGATAGATAGATAGATAGATAGATAGATAGATAGATAGTAGATAGATAGATAGATAGATAGATCGTCGCTGTATCGCTATTCCTCGCTCGATAGCTTAGTAGCTCGATCGCTACGCTATGCTCATACTTCTAATACATACTACTATCATACGCTACTACATATTCCCCTCAGACTACTACCTCCTACCATACATACTACATAGATACTAGTGTTAGCAGGTCGTCCTCGCAATGTTTCCTTATCCCTTTTTAGGTAGGCCTGAACGAGAGCTATGGTCTTGCCTAATTACTCTGGTTAATATCCAAACTAGTTCGTTCTTTCGGATATCAACTTCTGAGAAGATCCATTAAGTCATGAAAAAACCTTGCAGATTCAATGTCTGATCCGCTAGGGCGGGGCAATGGCAGAGTCATACTGCTTAAGTTAAGTCTTCTTGAATGGAGCCTGTAGAGCCAGTAGCAATTCACACCAATGCAGTCAAGTTCTGGTAGATTTACTTTCCGAATGTGAGGTACTGCTTGGGATTGTTGTGCATTGAATGACGGCTACATGATCCTCGCCTGTTTGCAGGTGGCTATCAGTCGACCATCTCCCTTAAGCAATCTAATACAGTCTGTCACGTATTGAAAGTTTGCAGGTTAAGAGCGTTATACCGACAAAAAATAACCGTATACTCTCTTGCCAGTGGGGCACCCACCTTGGTCCGCGATGGTATCACTAGATATCTGTTGATGATCTGGAATCCAATACAGTCCTATTATGGAGTGTTCCGCCAACTCAAAGATAGACAGATTTATATATTTTTGTCGTTTTATCTTAAGAATAGACAATATAAGAAAGATTTCCGAAAATTCTCCGGATAAAAGCCTTGGAATTAATAACTTCTAAATTAGTTACTATAACCAATTTTCTGCTGCTGAGCACAATAAAGAAAAAACCTAGTAAATATTTCAAAAATCTCATTCCAATATATACCAATTTACTTAAACTAATTAATTGTTTGTTTAAATTAATAACAAAATACAATCAATAATATTTTTCAAAGAATACCAAAAAAAGACCTTAAAATTTAGAACTCGGTCTTTTATTTCTTTCTTATACATATTGATTATTTTATTTTTATTTAAAAAATTAGTTATACGTAAACTAATTTGAGTTCATTAGCATGAGAGCTTAGAAATAAACAAATTTAATTTTGTCATTAGCATTAAAAAGAAATGTCAATAATACAATTATTTGACTTGACTTAGTTTAATGATTTACTGGCATGCTAACGAATATTACAATGAGGGTCAAATAATTTCGGTAAATAAAAGAAGTAATAACAAAAAATTTCATAATTTTTAAAGAAAAAAAATTTAATAAAGAAAACTTTATCAATAAAGTAAACAGCTTTACTTTCTCTGACTCATTTTGTGTAATAAGTTTTTCAAATTTCAAATATTTCAAAAATGAACGAAATATTTTTACAAAAGATAAGCCAACTGAAATAATTTTGTTTATATTATAAACTAAACTCGTAAATTTCCTAATTACTTTTTTTTTTTTTTTGTACGTAAACAGCTATTTCTGGATACAAAATTTCTGTAGTGCTGTTTACTAAAAACATTTCAAACATTTTTCAAATATTTTAAATATTTCCCAGTAAAAACATGAAAATAGAAAAGGCTTAACAAAAATTGTTTGTTATTTTTTTAAAAAGAGAGGAATTTTTGGAAGACTTTGACATGTTTATTTAAAATTTAAATATAGAAGTGTTTATTCATACATTAAAATCGTACAAGTAAATATTTTTATTAATAGTCATTTAACTGGACCTATTGATACATTTTATAATAGATTTTGTACTGATTAAAATACAAGATCTAGATTCGAAAACCTGTTTTATATATTGTTTTCAAAACAATATCAACTTTTTTGGAATTGTGATCAAAGTCTAATTTTATTTAAATATCCTAAATGAAATTGCTGAATACCTTTTCTAGGTTCTTAAAACCCAAAAGAAAGGTTCGATTTGGTACTTTTTTACAATTAGAAATACAGCCTAAATGTAGACGATAATCTAAAAGTTTATATAGTTTTGGACTAGTCTATTGACTAGACTATGGACTAATCTATATGGACTATCCTATTGGCTTGACTATGGACTAGTCTATTGACTGGACTATGGACTAGTTTATTGACTATACTATGGCCAAGTCTATTAACTAGACTATGTACTAACCTATTGCGTAGGCTATGAAAAAGATTATGTACTTGTCTGTTGACTGGACCATTGACTAGTCTATAAACTAGACTATGGATTAGGCTATTTGCTATTCTAGAGACTATTATATGCACTAGTCTATGGATTAGTCTATGAACAAGCATTAGTCTATGGACTATTCGGAGGATTAGTCCATAGGCTCTTCTAGGGCTTAATGTATGAACTATTCTGGAGTCTGGTCTAGGGTCTATGCTGTGACAAGGCCATGAACTAGCATATTGCCTAGGCTATGGACAAGACTATATACTTGTCTATTGACTGGACCATGGACAAGTCTATTAACTAGACTATGGATTAGGCTAATAGCTATTCTAGGGACTATCATGGGAACTAGTCTATGGATTAGTCTATGAACTATTCTAGGCATTAGTCTATGGACTATTCTGGAGTTTAGTCCATGGACTCTTCTAAAACTTAATCCATGAACTACTCTAGAGTCTGGTCTAGGGTCTATGCTATGGACTAGCCTATTGCCTAGGATATGAAAAAGACTATGTGCTTGTCTTTTTACTGGACCGTGGACAAGTCTATTAACTAGACTATGGATTAGGTAATTAGCTATTCTAAGGACTATTACGGGGACTAGTATATGGATTAGTCTATGAACTATTCTAAGCATTAGAATGCTTAGAACTATGAACTATTCTAGAGTCTGGTCTAGGATCTATGATAATACATATATCGGTACATCTAACAGTCTTTCATATAACTTTTAAATCGTATATAATTTTGCGTATATTTTTAGCATTTTTATTTTTTTGTTCACTGACGGCATAATTGTTTTTTAATGACAATTTATAACCCAATTAAACTATTTTGTGTTGTTGTTGTAGTTTATTTAAGTTCTCTATACAACTTCCTCTATTTATTTGTGTTTTTTGTCTCTTTTATTCTATTTATAGATTGGTCAAGATCTTTAAGCAATAACGCACAAGACCCACGCCATCATCATCATCATCAACAACAACAACGTCGTCATGCTCATCAGCAAAAACAGCAAACACAACAGCAACTAAGGCAACAACAGATACCACCACCACCAGCCGATTACTATTATGCCACAGAAGATGAGCAACAAATTGACTGTGATAGTATTGATGCGGCAGCAGTGAATGAACTTTCATTGCTTTTGCTGGCCGAATTGCGTGCTGCCAAAACTCGCAATCTCACCTGTACCGAAGTCTCATTACCCAGTGATCTCACCCAACGCATAGCCACCGATATAGTGCGTGTCTCGGAACGTGAACCCTGTGGCATACGTGGCTGTACCGTATTTGTTGAATACGAAGAGGAATTGAATAGTGTTAAGCGTATTGCTAAGTTAAAATTAGATCCTGAAATGGTGTCTACGTTTGAGGTGTATTTAACCTTGCGCCAGGATAAGAGAGGTTGGACCTCTCTATTGCCCCAGTTTATAAAAGGTCTGTCACGGACTATAACCATAAGTCCTGATTATACCATTAATAAGCGTAAACTTTACTCTCATGATAGCAATTGAGTCTGAGAGCCAGAGTTTTGCTTTCTTAGTTCGAAAAGAGCAATAGAGCTAAAAGAGTTGGCTAATCAGCCGTTTAGAGAGAGATAGAGATTTTGAGCTCTTGGTTTAATTAATATATTTTTTTTATTAAAAGAAACTTCTATTTATGAAGCGTTAAGTATTTTTTATGTTTTCTGGAAACACATGATCAGGAGTCTTTGTGATATAGAAATGCTCCTTAAAAACCAACAACAATTTAAATTAAAAGCAAAGCAAAGAGAAGATAATTGAACTCATTAAATGAGTTCAATAAGTTAAAGAGTAAATATTAAAAAAAAAAATACATAGTTTAACATTAAGCAAAACAAATTCAATTTAATTAATTAGAAAGAAAAACAAAAATAACAACAAAATATAAGTATTTTGAATTCATCCCACCTATACTCACCACGGTTATAAAATCATAAATTCAAAATGAGTGTTTTTATGTTCGTTTTTATTTTCAACAAATTTTAGCAAAAATTTTGTTTTTGTTAATTTAATAAGAGTAATTGCTGTGTGTACTCATTATTTTTAAAGCTCTAAAACATTTGCTTAAAAATGTTTTTATTTTTTTTATTTAAATTAAATTAAAATACAACTAAATGTTTTGAGCAGGCAACAGTGTTTTTTTTTTTGGGTTCAAGTGTTTCTCAACTAATCGGTTATTCATTCAGTTTATTTGCAAAACACGTGGTGTTTTGTTAAATATTCTCATTGAGGAATTTGTTAAAATTTAAATAAATACGAAAACAAATTATTTGACAAACAAATAATTGTTTGATGATCTCAGGCATTATTGACTAATGGTAACCACATTTTTTACAAACCATAAACAAATTTTCAACTTTAAAAATTTACTTGTTTATTAAAAAAAAAAATAAATAATTATTATTATTTAACAAAATTTATTTACATTTTGTAACCATTAAATCTTCTAAATCGAATAATTCAAAACACTTAAAAATTTAAAACGATAAAGAAGAAAAAAACCATAAAAAACAAATTCAGTTCCTCTGACTCGAACAACACACAAGCAACTCACACCCAAAAAGAAAAATATATAAAAATAACAAACATAAAAACATTTTCGGCCTAAAATAATTAAAAACAAAAAACTAAAAACAACAACAAAAACAAATAACGCTTGAAATAAAAGCGTATAAATAAATAAAACTAAAAAAAAAAAAAAAAAACAAAAAATAAAAATAAAAAAAACTCATGAAAAATGTGATACTGATTAAGTTTTTAGTATTTAAGTACTAATAAACTATTGAAAACTACAACAACAACAAAAAACAACAAAATGATTTATTTAAATATTTAACAAAACTGTGTTGCTGGTTAAAATGCAGTTTAAATATTTGTTTTCTGTTTAAATATCCAACAAATTTTAAATTATTAATTAAACTACCCACAAACAAAATAAATATATCCAAAATTTAACTTCTAAATGTTCTCATTATTATTGTATAATATAACTAAACAACAACCTAAAATTTTGTAAAAAACTATTTGTTCTTAATAAATTATTATTATTCAAAAAAAAAAAAAAATCATTACATTTTTTGGGATATTTGCAGAAAATTATTCGTTTTCTTTTAAATTTTTGTATTTATATTTAATTATAATTAATTTTAATAATAATCAAAATATTAATTATAAATATGTATGTATGTTATTTATAAGTGTTTTTTATATTTAAAAAAAAGAAAATAAGAAAAAATAAACAAAATAAAAAATGATTACTTGTTTTGCAAATATTTTGCGAAAACTTGTTATAAAACAATACAAATCAAAGTTGTTTTTCTTTAAGTGGAATAGAAAATTATTATTATAAACATCTTTGCACACGGGGACAAAAAGCAAGAATTTTAAAGACAATCCTCACCAATCCTTAAAAATTTCTTTATTTCTCATCCGATTACAAATATCGCCGGCCATAGAACGTGCGATATAGACCACAATATATACTAGATTATAGTCTAGTCTTGCTATTCAACAAGCAAGAGCACGAGATTCTGTCGTAGGAGATGATCTTATAGACAAGACTATAGACTAGATTATACACTAGAATATAGACTAGACTATAGAAAAGACTATAGACAAGAGTATAGACAAGACTGTAGACTAGGCTATAGACTAGACTAGGCTATAGACTAGACTAGGCTATAGACTAGAATATAGACTAAACTAAAGACTAGACTATAGACTAGACTATAGCCTAGACTATAGACTAGATTATACACTCGACTATAGACTAGACTATAGACTAGACTATAGACTAGACTATAGACTAGACTATAAACTCGACTATAGACTAGACTATAGACTAGACTATAGACTAGACTATAGACTCGACTATAGACTAGACTATAGACTAGACTATAGACTAGACTATAGACTAGACTATAGACTAGACTAGACTATAGACTAGACTAGACTATAGACTAGACTAGACTATAGACTAGACTAGACTAGACTATAGACTATAGACTATAGACTATAGACTATAGACTAGACTAGACTATAGACTAGACTAGACTATAGACTAGACTATAGACTAGACTATAGACTAGACTATAGACTAGACTATAGACTAGACTATAGACTAGACTATAGACTAGACTATAGACTAGACTATAGACTAGACTATAGACTAGACTATAGACTAGACTATAGACTAGACTATAGACTAGACTATAGACTAGACTATAGACTAGACTAGACTAGACTAGACTATAGACTAGACTATAGACTAGACTATAGACTAGACTATAGACTAGACTATAGACTAGACTATAGACTAGACTATAGACTAGACTATAGACTAGACTATAGACTAGACTATAGACTAGACTATAGACTAGACTATAGACTAGACTATAGACTAGACTATAGACTAGACTATAGACTAGACTATAGACTAGACTATAACTAGACTATAGACTAGACTATAGACTAGACTATAGACTAGACTATAGACTAGACTATAGACTAGACTATAGACTAGACTATAGACTAGACTATAGACTAGACTATAGACTAGACTATAGACTAGACTATAGACTAGACTATAGACTAGACCTATAGACTAGACTATAGACTAGACTATAGACTAGACTATAGACTAGACTATAGACTAGACTATAGACTAGACTATAGACTAGACTATAGACTAGACTATGACTGGACTAATAGACTAGACTATAGACTTGACTATAGACTAGACTATAGACTTGACTATAGACTAGACTATTGACTTGGCTATAGACTATACTATAGACTAGGCTATAGACTAGACTATAGACTAGACTATAGACTAGACTATAGACTAGACTATAGACTAGACTATAGACTAGACTATAGACTAGACTATAGACTAGACTATAGACTAGACTATAGACTAGACTATAGACTAGACTATAGACTAGACTATAGACTAGACTATAGACTAGACTATAGACTAGACTATAGACTAGACTATAGACTAGACTATAGACTAGACTATAGACTAGACTATAGACTAGACTATAGACTAGACTATAGACTAGACTATAGACTAGACTATAGACTAGACTATAGACTAGACTATAGAATAGACTATAGTCTAGACTATAGACTAGACTATAGACTAGACTATAGACTAGACTATAGACTAGACTATAGACTAGACTATAGACTAGACTATAGACTAGACTATAGACTAGACTATAGACTAGACTATAGACTAGACTATAGACTAGACTATAGACTAGACTATAGACTAGACATAGACTAGACTATAGACTAGACTATAGACTAGACTATAGACTAGACTAAAGACTAGACTAAAGACTAGACTATAGACTAGACTATAGACTAGACTAAAGACTAGACTATAGACTAGACTATAGACTAGACTAAAGACTAGACTATAGACTAGACTATAGACTAGACTATAGACTAGACTATAGACTAGACTATAGACTAGACTATAGACTAGACTATAGACTAGACTATAGACTAGACTATAGACTAGACTATAGACTGGACTATAGACTAGACTATAGACTTGACTATAGACTAGACTATAGACTTGACTATAGACTAGACTATAGACTTGGCTATAGACTATACTATAGACTAGGCTATAGACTAGACTATAGACTAGGCTATAGACTAGACTATAGACTAGGCTATAGACTAGACTATAGACTAGGCTATAGACTAGACTATAGACTAGGCTATAGACTATAGACTATAGACTAGGCTATAGACTAGACTATAGACTAGGCTATAGACTAGACTATAGACTAGGCTATAGACTATAGACTAGGCTTTAGACTATAGATAAGACTATAAACTAGACTATAGACTAGGCTATAGACTACACTATGGCTTAGACCATAGCCTGTAGACTAAACTATAAACCGGAATATAGACTAGACTATAGACTAGATTCGAGGCTTGACTATAGACTAGACTATAAACTAGACTATAGACTAGGCTATAGACTGGATTATAGACTAGACAATAGACTACTATATACTATACTAGAAAAAAATAGATTAGACTGGACTACTCTATAGAATAGGCTATAGATGAGACTATAGGCTTGACTATAGTTGAAACTATAGACTAGACTATAAATGAGACTATAAACTAGACTATAGGCTAGGCTATAGACTACACTATGGCTTAGACCATAGTACGTAGGCTGAAATATAGACTATCCTATAGACTAAACTATAGACTAGAATATAGTCTAGACCATAGACTAGAATATAGTCTAGACCATAAACTAGACTATAGTCCAGACTATAGACTATACTACAGACTTGATTATAGGCTAGGTTATCAATATTCTCAGACGTCTATCCTTTTGCGATAGCAGAATTAATTTAATCAGTTTTGTCCGTGCCAAATAGTCCGTGAGACTTCACATTAATGCGGAGCCGATCCCACGGCCATTACTACGCAATACTGCAAGGGCCGATTTGCTGTGAGCCTTGATAAATTTAGTATCCCTGTAGTCTAAATCGATCATACAGCACTCCTTGTCGATCTGAGATCACTGTTTTTTGGTATATTTATAACTACGCACGCAACAAGTTCTCGTCCTCCCAAATTCGATCATTTTGAAAGTATGAGGGGATTTGCTGGATTTGAATTGTTCTTTGTATATCCAATTTAATTGCTATACTGCTACAATCTTCAATATCAAAGAAGAAGAAAATATTTTTGTAAAATTTGAGCCCCCTTCTCCTTTCGATCGTGGTATCAACAGACAGGTGGACATAGACATATAGTCTAAGAATTTAATAAGTACTTAGAATATGTAACTTTTTGTAATGGGGACCTGTATGCTTCTTACAAATTTATCTATTTAGCCAAATTTAGTTTCTAAAATACCTGAGCAGGGAATCTCTATTGGTATTTTAGCGTTAGCGGTGTGTTGTTCTTTTAGCAATATCAAATATCGGTGTAACGAATTCCGCTATCCGAACGGAAGCTAATGCTTCAAATATATGTAAATACATATAAAATTAAGAAAATGTAAATCCAGGGAAATTTGAGTATTTTATTGATTCAAAAGTTTCTGTTACCTTAAAACATTTTCACAGAATTACTCTAAAATCAAATATTCGTTCATTTATGATTCACATCATCAGCACACAATTTTAATTGTTATACATAACTAAACTCAAAATTTAGAGCAATGCTAAAAGCTACAATATATTTTCATGAAGTTGGGAAACATTTCCTGTGAACTATTAAACATTTAAATTTAAATGTTAAATAATTTGCCGCCGTCAATCACTTCCAAAGAATTAGCAAAATAGAAACAATTTCCACATAAATTTGGAGTAAACAATTAAGATTTCTTGTTCATAAATACAATTCATAGAAATTCATAGAATTTATGTATGTATGAACAGTAATGTTTTCATAAAATTTCATTTCAAATAATTTTTCAATATAATTTTAGTTTTCTTTGTAATTAATCCATAGTTGATGGCATCTCTCATGGTTTTTATTTTGAAAATTTTGGTTAATGACAGTGAAACTTTTCAATAGTTTTAACCAATATTTTACCTTCAAAATAATACATATTAAGAATCCCTTCTTTCGATACATATCGATGTTGTCGGTATTGACGGGCTCTTACCACATGGATTGAAATTTTTTTAGCAGTGAAACAATTACAAAAGTATTGATGTTGATGGGAACCTCCTTTAAAACCTCCTTCAAATTGTTTATAAATAGATGAAATCATATTTTTATACCCTCCACCACTACCAATCGTGATCAAAGTTTGTATATATATTCTCGGTCCTTATGAAATATTGAGTCGATTTAGCTATGTCCGTCTGACTGGTTAAAATACGCTCACGTTAAAACTAAACAAAATAAATCAAAGTAATTTTCTGAAGGGGCCTTATATAGACCGATCCTCATAAAATTTTGTAGAACGATCTTGGTTTATACACGTCATGTTGATATCGAATTTCATCGCTTTACTCGTTTTTAGGCCAGTAATGAGATCTAAAGTAATTTTGTGATGGGGACCTTGTATGGGGGGTAGGGTCAATTAAGGCCCGATCAACATAAAATTTGGTTAAGAGATTTTGGCTCGCAAGGAGCTTGCTTGTGTCGAATTTCATTGCTATACTCGTATTTTTAAACCAGTAATGGGCTTTAAAGTAATTTTCTGATGGGGACCTTATAAGGGGGTAGGTTATGATCCACATAAAATTTGCTAGAGAGATTTTGGCTCGTATAAAACTTACTTCTGTGAAATTTCATCGCTATACTCCTGTTTTTAAGCCAGTAATGAGCGTTACAGTAATTTTATGGTGGGGACCTTATATGGGGGTAGGGTGAATTATGGATCGATCCACATAAAATTTGTTGGAAAGTTTTTGGCTCCTAAGATACTTACTTATGTCAAAATTCTTTGCTATACTCGTATTTTTACGCCAATAATGAGCGTTAAAGTCATTTTCTGAAGGGGACGTTATATGGGGGGTTTGGGTCAATTATGGACCGATCCACATACAATTTGGTAGAGAGATTTTCACTCGTATAAAACTTACTTCTATGCAATTTCATCGCTATACCCGTATTTTTAAGCCACTAATGAGCGTTAAAGTAATTTTATGAAGGGGACCTTATATAGGGGGTAGGCCCAATTGTGGCCCTATGTCCGCCATAATTCAGATTTTTATTTCGGTAGTCAAAAAACTGACTTGCGAAATTTTGTGGCATTTGCTTTATAAACAACGAATTTGTGAATGTTTGAAGGACATAGCTAGATCGTCTTAAAATCTTACGAGGTCCTAGAATATACATACATATGTATATACTTTATGGGGTCTGTGAACAATATTTCGATGTGTTACACACGGAATGACAAAATCAATATACCGCCATCTTTTTTGACGGTGTGTATAAAAAGTGTTTAAAAAATTGTTTTTTCCAACAACGCATTTAATGCGATATTGGCAACTCCAATGCTAATTTAATAAATCTCAATTTTCCATCCCTGATATGTAATACACGAAATAAACATGCGCTAATAATGTGGAAGCAAAAGAGATTGCAAGCAAAATTTATATACAAAATATATGTGCATAGAATAAAAACAAGTAACAATGTCGGTCACGGCCGGCCATATGACACACTAGACTATTCCGTATACATATATGGAGACAAAGTTCTCTTGAGGTACGACCTTCCTAGAAATATGATGAAGTAGGAATTTTTATCGTGATAAAGCATAATTTAAGATATATACCATGTGCCGATTCTCACTTCGAAGGAGGACTTAGGTTCATATAAAACTAGAAATTTGAGCAGACGGATTAGTTGCAACCATATATACATATATAGACTAGACTATAGACTAGACTATAGACTAGACTATAGACTAGACTATAGACTAGACTATAGACTAGACTATAGACTAGACTATAGACTAGACTATAGACTAGACTATAGACTAGACTATAGACTAGACTATAGACTAGACTAGACTATAGACTAGACTATAGACTAGACTATAGACTAGACTATAGACTAGACTATAGTCTAGACTATAGACTAGACCATAGACTAGACTATAGACTAGACTATAGACTAGACTATAGACTAGACTATAGACTAGACTATAGACTAGACTATAGACTAGACTATAGACTAGACTATAGACTAGACTATAGACTAGACTATAGACTAGACTATAGACTAGACTCTAGACTAGACTATAGACTAGACTCTAGACTAGACTATAGACCAGACTATAGACTAGACTATAGACTAGACTATATACTAGACTATACTGGATTATAGACTGGGTTATCAATATTCTCAGACGAGCCTCCTTTTGCGAATGCAGATTTGACGTATTGGTTGCAACAAACATCAGCTCAAATACATATTACCCACCTCACTATAGTTGTGTAGGGTATAAATATACAAACGATATTGTTTGTGCCGAAAGTAAACTCACAGCTGATTATGTGGGAGAATTTCTATCTAAACTGTCAAATTTCGCATATAAAAAATTCTCTCAAAATTGTTGCTGTCAAATTCCATATCGAAAACAGTAAAGCATTCGTTTGTCTCTTCCTCTAGGATACCTTATACAGATTCCTCTTGTTTGTGTCTCTAATTCTCAGTTTGTGGTTTTTATGTGTTGTTTCTGCAAGTTGTTTATATAACAAAAGCACTTCCCTGCAGTGCATAGTGGCAGTCCGGAGCTAATAATTTGGGATTGACACATAGGTAGTACTGTACCCCGTTTCTGTAACTTTTAGTGAGAAGTTCTCACATCGAGAAGTGTGAAACAAAAAATTCCATCGTTTCTCGATTTGGAAGTAAAAAGTGTTTCTGTAACTTAAAGTGAGAAGAGGCAACACGAATTACGTTTTTATTGGATATTTCCAATAAAACAGCTGTCAAAAACATAAAAATAAAAAGAAGAAAACAAAAATTGCCAGACAAATTTATAAACAATGATTAAATTAACAAAAAATATAGGAATTAAATAAAATGTGTTCAAAAAATTATCCCAATAAATTCTCCCCTAGCCAATTCTAAGTTTATTCCCACATACTTTTTCTGCTTTTGCTTCTGTATATCGAAAATTCCTCCAATTTTCTAAAAATTAGTGGACAATATTAATTTTAATGTTAATTAATTATAAAAATATCATTACTTTTTCATTATTTTATAGAATTTATGTTTAAATTAAACTTTTTTTCCTTAAAATTTTACTTTCCGCACCGTTTTAAAATGTGAGTTTTTTTGACAGTTCATGTGAGAAACTTCTCACAAAATTTTCTTACAGAAACACTTTTACTCACAAATTTCCAATAACTTACGTCAAAAAACTTAAATGACAGATAGTTCTCACAAAAAGAAATTACAGAAACACTTGCATGTGAGAAATGATATTTTGTTCCAATTCACATTGTTTTTTCTTCAATTTCACTGTTTCATGCGAGAAATTTCTCGATGCGAGAGTTACAGAAACGAGGCACTGAATTATATTTGTGGCTTATTAATATGGGATTGTTTTAGAATGCTGTGAATTGATTCTTTGGAGACAGATAAAATAACTAGTTTCTGAAATATGTATAATGCAAAAATCAAGTGTCAATTATCTACTCTCTAGATTACTTGGTTATAGTAAAGTGACAATTGAGTTGCTCTCAACATTACTTGGGATACTAAAGTGACGATTGTATACGACCTGTTTCCTTAAGAGTATGTATATCGTAGCAAGTGGTTTAATACTTAAGAATTAGAGTCTTCCTGTTAGTTATATATTAGTGGAAATTACGATCTTTTAAGGGTACATTGGCTCCTTTTCGATCTGCTGGGTTCGTATAAGACGTATTGTTTATAGATTTTTAACAAAACGTTTTATTCAATCGTTATGTAGGTATAAATGCATATACATTTTACATACATGCATATCAACTCAGTGCCTGTTTTAGAATACATACAATTAGTTTAACGCGAACGAAAATACTGGAAAAGCTTTTTACAAAAAGAAATAAAAACATATCGTCTTGCAAAAAAACTACACACTATTCGAGTAAACCAGGCATTTAAACAATTCACAACACACAAACGGGTGTTGTGTGTTTGTTGTTCGGGCAGCAAACAGTACACAAGCATTTACTAAATTGTGTATATGTAAGCTGAACAAAGGCAACAACAGCAACCACAAGCAATACATACATTCATAACTGCATATTTGTTAGTTTGTGTGTATTCTCTTGTATATACTCAGTATTGTAAATAACGACAGGGAAAGAAGACTCAAAGCAAAATGATTTTGTCTCAATTGTCAAGAGCACAAGAGCGAAAAACAGTTGAAAATTACTTGGATTTTTAGTGCACAAAGTGTCGTTGTTGTGAACGTATCGTGGTTGTGTTGAATTTTTTTAATTTTAGTGCCGGTTTGTAGGGTGAGTTTCTGTGTGTGTTATAAAAAACAGAAATTTATTTAAAGTAGAACACACAAAGCCAAAATGGTAAACATTTCCAAATGTGAGATTTGGAATTATTTCGATAATATTGTTGAAGAGGGCATAGCAGTGTGTAAACTATGCAAACAGCGTTTAAAAAATGAACGCGGTTGGATTTTGAGAAGACACTTGAAGGATCTGCACAATGCCAAAAGTGAAATATGGAATTATTTTGATAACATTGTGGGTGAGGGAGTGGCAGTGTGCAAAAAATGTAAGCAGCGTGTACAGAACAATCGTAGTTCTAATTTAACACAGCACATGAAATCAGCTCATAATATAGTCGTAAGCGATATCATTGAAGAGTCTAAAAGATCTAGGACTAGAGCTAGTAGACCAAGAGGAAAGAGTACAGCTGTCTATATTAGTGATGAGGAATCGAAAGAATCCAGTCATGGTCAAGTATCTCCTGTCATGGAGGAAACAATTCCTACAGCTATTGTTATACCTAAGGCAAGTGTTTCACCTACACCAGTAGTGAGTGTTGCACCCAGGAGAAGTGTTACTCCCAATCATTTGGCTACTACCAGGGTTACACCATCCCCAACGATGAGTGTTAACCCCACAGTTAATAACTATGACTTAATGCCTAAGTTAACACCCATAGTATTTCCAAAAAAGCCAAACACTTTGATTGCATCTAAACGTATAGCTACCGATGAACACTCATTCAGCGCTAAGCGATCGAAAAACCTTTTAGCTATAGACATGAATGAGAAAACTCTAATGTCAGCTATATGGGGTCTTTTAACTGAAGATGGTGTTTCTCCCACACTATTTGGTTCGAAAAACATGCAGGCCCTAATACGGCCCATTTGTCAAGCCCTACTGCAACAGGAACGTAAAGAAATTAAGATAGATGAAGCTGAAAGTGAAAAATTAATATGTTTAGTTGCCAATCATTTACGCAATAGGTTTTCCAATGAATTCGAGTCTCGTTTGCTTTCTCTAAAAATTGATATGGATCTCAACGGTCCGGAAAATACGTTTTGTGTTAGTACCGCATTTGTGGATTGTGGTCAGTTACAAACACGTCTTCTAGGCATAATAGATCTTAAGAATGATTCTCATCTAAGCGAACAGCATATTAAGCAAATTTTACACAAATTTAATATCGATTCAAATCAAGTTATAAGCATTTGTTGGGACAACTCCAAAGCCAATTACAATAAGCCAGTGAAGAATACTGAGTATTTAGAGGAAATAGCCGAGTTTGAGCAGTATCCAGATGTACAATTTTGCGATATTAAGCTTGAGCCTTATGTAGGTGACATAGCCCAGCTGTGCATATTGGATATTTTAAAAAATTCCTCTATATTGGAAAAGTTTTTGGAGTGCCGCAATTTCGTCAAGTATCTTAACGACACAACAAATGGTTGTTATGAAATATTTGAACAAAATAATCTAAAAATACCCCAATTAGATTCTCCCTATAAATGGGGTTCTACTTACGAAATGATACATGATTTACACCTAGCCCGTAATGTGCTAAGCCATTTAACATATCCAAAATTGGAACATCCCGAAGATCAGTTTAATGTGAACGAACAGCTGTGGCTATTTATAAAGGGCTTCTGTGAATCGTTGAGTTTAATGCAAAAATCCATAATTAAATTTAACACTGCCGATATGCACTTTGGCGATTTCTATGCTCAGTGGTTGAAGACCAAACTGTTAACCGCAAATCTAGCATCGGCCAATGGTAACTTTGAAAATGCTTACACAACTGCTCTTTCCACACAATTGTTGAACATTATTGAGGCTAGAACGAAAGAACTCTTGGATAAAGATTGTTTCGATGCTTGTTTGTATTTGGATCCACGCTTTCATCATACCTTAAGTGTGGAAAAAAAAGCAAAAGCTTTAAACTATTTGAAAGAAATATGGAGTCGTTCTAATGTCTATAAAGTTGATGTTATAAATGCAGCTATGGAGGATAATATGGCGCCAAAGCGTTTAATTGACGATGAAGACGCTTTTCTGAATGAATTCTTAAGTCATGACGCACCAAAACTTGATATTAAAACTACCGATATTCACAAGGAAATTGAGGGCTTGAAATTGCCATTCAAATCTGTCGATACGAATATTTTGGCCTATTGGAATAAGCTGAAATTAAGAAATCCTGATATGTATGCCTTGAGTGCCATTTGTTTTGCTATACCAGCTACACAGGTAAATTTAAATGTTGTATATATCTAATTCTAAAATCGATCTACTAAACATTATTGCAATATTTCTAGTTCCATTAAAAAACATTAAATAATATACATTTGATCGCCAGAATACATATGTATATAAATTTACCATAGATTTCTTTCAGATATTTAATTTTCTATCAACATTTGTATATCTTAAAATTTTTTTAATTTCAGAACTATAATCTACAACGTTATGCACATATTTATCAAACTCAGAATATTGAAAATTTGTCAACATTTACCAGAGATAATATTATAAGCATTCGTTTAAATTCTCATTTACTAAAAGGAAATCTTGAAAAATTCGGAATATATGATGAAATAATATCATGCGAAGACGAACAATCGGAAGATGTTCAAATAGTCGAGAGTAATGAAGAGTCTAATACAAGTTTTTATTAGCAGTGAAATGCTACTACAAAAATCTAATATTAATATAAAATTACATTAGTATTTAATGAATTCACTGAATATTTTTTTATTTACTTATTTTAAAAATGGATATTTAAATATTTTTTTATGTTTCAAATAAATTTTATTATTTCTATAATTTATTTTGGGTTTTCATAAAGAAGAAATATGTTGGGTAAGAAATGGATGGCTATTATACAAACAGTTTTAAAAAGGGTCAACTTAAAACATTTTTTTGAGAAATTTAAATTGAGACGCAAGGAAATATGAAACCAAGGTAAACTGAGAATCCTAAGCCGAATAACTAAAATACGCTTCAATCCGTCATTCAAATTTGAAAGACGGCGTTGCTGAAAATGTCGCATTTATGTATAAGGAGTCTTCGTTGTTGTCACAAATTTCTTTATAAAGTTGAAAACTTTTCTAGATATTAATCCAAATAATTACAATTCAAAATTTTGGGAAAATTTACTTAATCTAAGTGTCACAGTTTAATTTGGTCGCCATAGAACTCTGTGCACTACTTATTTGAAGCAGTGATGTTATAGAATTTAATGTGTATTGATGAAACGAGTTTTTGTATAAATTAGGGTAAAACTATGTATGTTAGTTGATGCTTATTATTTGTAGATGAACCCTGTAGTGTTTGTAACTGCAATACTGTTGGATTTAAAATAATATATATTAATATAGGTATTTATACTCTCCACCAGCAATCTACTTTTTATTAAAACCCTTTTAACTATCTAATTTTTAGATAACTCCGTAGTGAGGGTACTAATAATTTATGCGAATACTAATATTGATTAGGTTCAGAAACATTTATATTAAGTGATTTTCGCATGTGAACCTTGTACTAGTGTTATGACTTATTATGGGCCGATCTTGCCGATGCCAAAAAATTTTGGGAGAATGATTTGCATATTTACAAACCATATTCCTGTCGAGTTTTTCCCCAACGTCGATATTTTTAATGAACTAAATACGTTTAAGTGATTTTTGAAACGATGTTGCTAACCTTATATCAGAGCAATGACCAATAATAGGCCAGTTCGAAAATTTTTTAGCAGAATGATTTATCTATGCACAGAACATGCTCATGTCGAATTTTATCCTAATATAATCATTTAATTATGAATTATGTGGTATTAAGTGATTAGCAGAAGTGAACCTTATATGGGAGCTACGACAAATTATGAACCGATGCAAAAAAATATCCGTATAGGTAATGATTTATATATACAAAATACACGTTTATGTCCAAATTTATCCCTATAACCTTGATTGTCAATGTGCGTTAAAGTAATTTTCAGAAATGGTCTTATATGGGAGTTGTGACCAATTATGGACCGACCGGGAAAAAATTTCATACAACGATCTAATGCTTATTATATATTCAAGTTGAATTTTACCACAATAGCTTTATTTGACAATCAATTATGTGCGTTAAAGTGATTTTCGGAAGTGGACCTTATATGAGAGCTATGACCAATTACTGGCCTATCCGGAAAAAAATTCTTAGAGTGATTCATATGTACACAAAACTTATACATATGTGTCGAAATTTATCAAGATAGCTTTATTTGACAATGAAATAGTTCCGTTAAAGTGATTTTCGGAAGTGAACCTTGTATGGAAGCTATAACCAATAATAAGCTATATAAATAGAAGCTATATAATAATCGTAGAATGTACACAAAACATATTCACGTCCAATTTTATCCTGATAAATTTTCAGTAAATTTGGGTGATTTCATTTGCTTATTTTTAACGTAAGCGTGTTTTACACAAACATAGCAAAATCGACTCAGATTTAACAAGGACCCAGAATATATACTTCGTTGGGTCAAAGACGAATATTTCTTAGTGTGGAGGGTATAAAATGTAATATGTATTAATTAAGCAAATTATTCCGATTACTTGCGTTATCCTCTAAAAGGATTTATAAATGGAAGCCTGATCATACTACTCAATAAAAAAGAGATAATAATAATTTAACAGGTTAAATACTTGTGGGAATTTCTTGTCTAGAGACCTAACTTTGGAAACCGATATCTTTCGAGCGGGATGAAATTTGCACTTATGTTGACCCTCTTGGATAGTAGTAAAATTTTTTTAAAAATATAGGTCAATAGCTCTCTGAATTACATTTGGTCAAAGTTTGACATTTTTGCAAAACATGTGTTTTTTCTAAGGTGCTCCGGTAGGCTAGTGGTAGTGTGCTACTTATACTCGTCAGTCTGGGGGTTACGGGAGGTTGTCTCAAATTTGTGCTCATATCTCCGTTATTTATGAACCGATTTTGCTAAATAGGAATCTTCTCGAAAGTATGTCAGATAGATTTATTAAAAATTGAGATCCCAAAGATATCTGAGGTTTTCAGAAAATTGATTTCAACAAACACACAGATAGACAGACGGACAAGGCTTAATCGACGCCGCTATCTATAAAGATCCAGAATATATATATACTTTATAAGGTCGGAATATTATATTATAGAAATGACAATCTTATATATACCCTTCTCACGAAGGTGAAGGGTATAATAACAATTGTTATTATAAGGTTTTATAAACCACTGTGATTTTCTAGTTATATCGTGATGTACTGCAATTAGCGTTTTTCTGTATTATTGTTAACAACACTGAAAAGCAAAGAAATTAGGAAAAATCAATAGATACTTTCTAAAAGAGAAAACAGGCAGCTCAGAGAACAGACGACACAGCGTTTTTGTACTACAAAAATTGTGTATACATACATACACGACAGTGAGCAATTATTGTGAAATTGATAAACAAAAACATTTATTAACTACACAACAAATATGTATATGAATTAAAATATAATTTATACCTATTAATCTCTTAGGAATATAGTGGATTAAGAACTAAAAGAATTAATTCATTGCAGTTTGTTTCTTTCTATTCTTTACTTTTCACTATTCGATGACGTCAGCATATAGAATGCCTATGAAATTAAAGAGCATAAAACGACAGTGTTAAAAAAAATAAGCAACTTGAGTTGTGTTGTCCAACGAAAACAAGTTTTACTCTCGTCGTTGTTAGTATATTTACACAATAGCAAAACACTCATGCCAACTACATACGAACAGAACAGCAAATCAAAGCAAGCAGACGATAAAAAAGAAACACAAACATAATAAACTGCTAACGACTGACTTGTCTTTCATTCCTTCTACCTACCCGTAGCGGCAGTTCAAACTACATACAATTTAAAATAAATACAAGATTATAGCAACAACAAAACTCAACTCAAGAGCAACAAGAGCGTAGAGAAGTCTACAGCAATTGATTCGCTTTTAGTATACGACGACGGGTCTTTGTTGACACTATAACGGGCAGAGTGTGTGAGTTAAGTTAGAAGATTTTGTGTGTAATTGTTTGTTATCGACAACAAAAATAAAGTTTAATTTTAGTAAAAGAAAGATAGAAATGGCACTGAGACCGAGCAGTGAGCTATGGAATTATTTTACCAATATAGTGGAGGAGGGCATGGCAGAGTGTAAAATGTGTAAACAGCGTTTGAGAAACAATCGTAGTTACAATTTAAAGTTACACTTGAAAAAAGTCCATAATAATAGAGGCGAAATCAACAAGTACTTTGACGTCTTTGTTCAAGAAAATCTAGCAGTTTGTAAAACATGCAATCAACGTCTAAAGAATCGTCTTTGCAATTTGAGATTGCACATGCGTAGATTACACAATATAGAAGTAAAATTGCCAGAAGATCAACCCCCAGAACAACCACCCTCACCACAGCCCTACGATGAAGATCAAATCAAAGCGGTGCTAAAAGTAGCAAAGCGTAAGATGAAAGAACAAGTGGGCAATGAGGAGAAAAAGCCAATACGCCGTTTGTATATAAAAATGGATAAACATACTATAATACGCAGCGTAATTGGTTTGATAGTTGAAGATGGTTTATCGCCGCATATTATTAGCTCGAAAAACTTTGACTCGATATTGCGACCCATGTGTGAGGCCATATCCGATAAAGAGGGTAAAGAATTTAATGTAAACGAGGCTGAGATCGAAAGAATCATTAATCTAATGGCTAATTATGTGCGCAAAGACTTCTCCAATGACTTGCACAGTCGTTTGTTGTCCATCAAAATCGATACGGATCTACAAGCTTCGCCTAAGACTTTTTGTGTCAGTGCCCAATTTATCAACGACGGCATGATACAAACACACGCTTTAGGTATAATTGATCTGAAAGATGATGATGCCAATAATTCGCAACTAACGGAGGAGCATATAAAACAAGTCTTATATAAATATAACATTGATACCAATCAAATAATAGGTGCCTTCTGGAACAATACCAAGCAAAAATGCCATAAGCAAGTAAAAAACTCGGAATATTTAAAAGAAATTGAACAATTTGCCACATATCCCGAAATTTATTTGGGAGATGTTAAGCTGGAGTGTTATATGGGTATCACAGCTCAACTTTGCCTATTGGATATTTTCAAAAATTCCCGGATATTGCAACAATTTTTGATGTGTCGTAATTTTGCCAAATTTCTTAGTGAAGAATCCAATGGTTATTATGAATTATTTGAGAAAAATAAATTAAACATTCCTAAAATAGATTCTCCCTGGAAATGGGGTTCTACCTATCAAATGATACAGGATTTGCTGGATGCTCGTGCCCTCTTGAAAGATGTAAAATTCGAAAGTTTCGATAACACCGAAGATCAGTTTAAAGCCACCGACGAGTTGTGGTCATTCATTGAAGCCTTTAGCAAAGCTATAAGTTATTTGCAAAAATCCATATTAAAGTATAGTACCGAAGACTTGCATATGGGTGACTTCTATGCCCAATGGTTAAAATGTAAACTTTTGACCGAAAAACTTCTAACGGCTAGTAACAAAGAAAACGAAATGTTATCGTTGATTTTGACAGAAGTGTTAAAAAATATAGAGAAAAGAACAAAGGAATTACTAAGCCAAGATCGTTTTGCTGCCAGTATATACTTGGATCCAAGATTTCAGCGTACACTTGAGACGGAACAAAATTCTAATGCTGCGGAATATCTAAAAAAGTTGTGGCGTCGTGCAAAACTTTATAGCGTTGACGATGTAGAATCCATGGAAACTTCAGTTCAAATGTTTGACGATGATGAAGATGCATTCTTGAATGAATTTTTAAGTCATGATATACCAGAAAAGGATAATAGAACCAGTGATGTTTATCAAAAGATTGAAAAACTTAAATTAGCATTCCAAATGGTGGATACAAATGTTCTATCATTTTGGCAAGGTCAGAAAGCAAGTCAGCCTGAAGTACATCTGTTAAGCACAATCTGTTTTGCCATACCAGCTACAGAGGTAAGATATTTTCTAAAATTATTTATATATAAAAATCATATTAAAATAAAAACTAAATAAATATTCCTTTAATTTCAGAATTACCACAAACAACGTTATTCTCATCTCTATCGTTTAGATGTTAATTCAAAACTATCTTCATTTACCAAAGAAAATCTCTTAATTGTTCGCCTAAATGCCCATCTTTTAGATGATGCACTTTCTCAGTTTCAACTCTTCAATGATGCTCGTTCAAATACCTCTACGTTATCGGAATTAAATGGATTTTCTGAGGATGATAACAGTAATACCGCTTCGACACATTCTGGCGTTATGCCGACACCTTCAACTACTAAATAATTAAAATTATCATTATTTTATTGTATTAAATACAATAAACTGCTTTAAGCTTAAATTAAATAATACATTTATTTACATTCTGAAATAGTATTTTTTATAACTTTTTACTTTGTTGTTGAAAACGAAAATGAAATAATAAATTAACAAAATCGTTAAGTGTTTTCTCATTTTTTCGTGTACTGTAAAATGTTAAGTATTATAAAATAACTGTTTGGGATGGTAATACCGAACTGCAGGGTTAAGCAATAAGATATAGACACACACTCTTTCGACACACACGGTATTTGACAACACGGCATGAACAACGCAGTGTCTGAACACTCAAGCATACGATAGTTTACCTTCTGTGTAAATATGTACGTTCGTATGTATGTACTAGGCATGGAAAAGAAAAATTGTACTTTCTAGCTTTTAAAGTACTAAATTAATTTTTCACTAAACTATAGGCCACACTATAGACTAGACTATAGACTAGACTATAGACTAGACTATAAACTAGACTATAGACTAGACTATACTATATATAGACTAGAATATAGACAAGAATATAGACTAGAATATAGACTAGACTATAGACTAGACTATAGACTAGACTATAGACTAGACTATAGACTAGACTATAGACTAGACTATAGACTAGACTATAGACTAGACTATAGACTAGACTATAGACTAGACTATAGACTAGACTATAGACTAGACTATAGACTAGACTATAGACTAGACTATAGACTAGACTATAGACTAGACTATAGACTAGACTATAGACTAGACTATAGACTAGACTATAGACTAGACTATAGACTAGACTATAGACTAGACTAGACTATAGACTAGACTAGACTATAGACTAGACTATAGACTAGACTGTAGATTAGACTATAGACTAGACTGTAGATTAGACTATAGACTAGACTAGACTATAGACTAGACTGTAGATTAGACTATAGACTAGACTATAGACTAGACTATAGATTAGACTATAGACTAGACTAGACTAGACTATAGACTAGACTGTAGACTAGACTATAGACTAGACTATAGACTAGACTATAGACTAGACTATAGACTAGACTGTAGATTAGACTATAGACTAGACTGTAGATTAGACTATAGACTAGACTATAGACTAGACTATAGACTAGACAATAGACTAGACTATAGACTAGACTATAGACTAGACTATAGACTAGACTATAGACTAGACTATAGACTAGACTATAGATTAGACTATAGACTAGACTATAGACTAGACTATAGACTAGACTATAGACTAGACTAGACTATAGACTAGACTATAGACTAGACTATAGACTAGAATATAGACTAGACTAAAGACTAGACTATAGACTAGACTAAAGACTAGTCTATAAACTAGACTATAGACTAGACTATAGACTAGACTATAGACTAGACTATAGACTAGACTATAGACTAGACTATAGACTAGACTGTAGATTAGACTATAGACTAGACTGTAGATTAGACTATAGACTAGACTAGACTATCGACTAGACTAGACTAGACTATTGATTAGACTAGACTAAGGACTAGACTATAGACTAGACTATAGACTAGACTATAGACTAGACTATAGACTAGACTATAGACTAGACTATAGACTAGACTATAGACTAGACTATAGACTAGACTATAGACTAGACTATAGACTAGACTATAGACTAGACTATAGACTAGACTATAGACTAGACTATAGACTAGACTATAGACTAGACTATAGACTAGACTATAGACTAGACTATAGACTAGACTATAGACTAGACTATAGACTAGACTATAGACTAGACTATAGACTAGACTATAGACTAGACTATAGACTAGACTATAGACTAGACTATAGACTAGACTATAGACTAGACTATAGACTAGACTATAGACTAGACTATAGACTAGACTATAGACTAGACTATAGACTAGACTATAGACTAGACTAGACTATAGACTAGACTAGACTATAGACTAGACTATAGACTAGGCTAGACTAGACTATAGACTAGACTATACACTAGACTATAGACTAGACTATAGACTAGACTATAGACTAGACTATAGACTAGACTATAGACTAGACTATAGACTAGACTATAGACTAGACTATAGACTAGACTATAGACTAGACTATAGACTAGACTATAGACTAGACTATAGACTAGACTATAGACTAGACTATAGACTAGACTATAGACTAGAATATAGACTAGACTAAAGACTAGACTATAGACTAGACTACAGACTAGTCTATAAACTAGACTATAGACTAGAGTAGACTATAGACTAGACTATAGACTAGAATATAGACTAGACTAGTCTAGACTAGAGTAGACTATAGACTAGACTATAGACTAGACTATAGACTACACTATAGACTAGACTATAGACTAGACTATAGACTAGACTATAGACTAAACTATAGACTAAACTATAGACTAGACTATAGAATAGACTATAGTCAAGACTATAGACTAGACTATAGACTAGACTATAGACTAGATTATAGACTAGATTAAAGACTAGACTATAAACTAGACTATAGACTAGACTATAGACAAGACTATAGACTAGACTATGGACAAGACTATAGACTAGACTATAGACCAGACTATAGACTAGTCTATAGACTGTAGATTAGACTATAGACTAGACTGTAGGTTAGACTATAGACTAGACTGTAGGTTAGACTATAGACTAGACTGTAGATTAGACTATAGACTAGACTGTAGGTTAGACTATAGACTAGACTGTAGATTAGACTGTAGATTAGACTATAGACTAGACTGTAGGTTAGACTATAGACTAAACTATAGACTAGACTATAGACTAGACTATAGACTAGACTATAGACTAGACTATAGACTAGACTATAGACTAGACTATAGACTAGACTATAGACTAGACTATTGACTAGACTTTAGACTAGACCATAGACTGGACTATAGACTAGACTATAGGCTAGACTATAGACTAGACTATAGGTTAGACTATAGACTAGACTATAGACTAGACTATAGACCAGACTATAGACTAGTCTTTAGACTAGACTATAGACCAGACTATAGACTAGTCTTTAGACTAGACTATAGACTAGTCTTTAGACTAGACTATAGACCAGACTATAGACTAGTCTGTAGACTAGACTATAGACCAGACTATAGACTAGTCTATAGACTAGACTATAGACCAGACTATAGACTAGTCTATAGACTAGACTATAGACCAGACTATAGACTAGTCTATAGACTAGACTACAGACTAGACTATAGACTAGACTATAGACTAAACTATAGACTAAACTATAGACTAGACTATAGAATAGACTATAGTCAAGACTATAGACTAGACTATAGACTAGTTTATAGACTAGACTATAGACTAGACTATAGACTAGATTATAGACTAGATTAAAGACTAGACTATAGACTAGACTATAGACCAGACTATAGACTAGACTATAGACCAGACTATAGACTAGTCTATAGACTAGACTATAGACTAGACTAAAGACTAGACTATAGACTAAACTATAGACTAGACTATAGACTAGACTATAGAATAGACTATAGTCAAGACTATAGACTAGACTATAGACTAGATTATAGACTACACCATTTCAAGTTTAAATTGAGAAAATACAAACTCATATTGAGAATTTCAATTTAAAATTTAGAAAATTCAAATTAAAGTTCAGAAATTTAAATTAATATTGAGAAAACCCCATTTGAAATTGAGAAATCCAAACTAATATTGAGAAATAATAAAATTAAATTAAGAAATGCAAATTCATATCGAGAAAAAACAAATTGAAATTCAGAATCCCAACATTATATTAAGAAATTACAAGTTGAAATTGAGAAACTAATAAATGAAAATGAGAAATTTAAAATTTGTATGAAAATATTTTTCTTATAAAATGTTTAAATAGGATATGGATTTAAAATAATATAAATTTCAATACAAAATTAGGCTTTCTTAATATCATTTTGTATTTTGTCAATTTCAATTCGTATTATCTCAATATTAATTTCGACTTCTCAATATCAATTGGTTTTTTCTCAATATTAAGTTGAAAATTCAAATTTCAATTTGTTTTTTCTTCATATCAATTTTGATTCCTAAATTTAATTTGGTATGTCTCAATATTAAATTGGATTTCTAAAATTCATTTTGGTGTTTCACAATATAACTTTGGATTTTCTCAAATTAAACTTGAAATGGTGTAGATTAAAGACTAGATTATAGACTAGATTAAAGACTAGACTATGTACTAGACTACACGCTACACTACATACTGCTACGGACTGAATACTATGTGAACTACTTATCAAAAGTTTATTACTTTAAAAAGGTACGGAATGAAAAAGTACTGAAATTTCCATGCCTGGTATGTACCCAAAAACAAATATTCAATTGTTACGCACGATACCTAAAGTAAAAACAAAACAAAAAGAACGCAACTCGATTAGCAACCAAGTCTATTTTGAAAAAAAATTTAATTTCATAAGAATGTGTTTGTGCAAAAAAACCAGTTCTTTGAATTTGCAACAACACAAGCAAAGAGAGAGAGAAATAGAGTTTTCGAGTCATAAATTCTCTATACTACTACAACGAATAAGACCAGAAAGAAAAAAACACTCAAACGACACGAGAGCACAAGAGGGTTGGACGACATTGCATTTAGTACTCGTTGAGTCTTTGTTGAGAACGTAGCGTGTGTGTATTTTAAATTATATTTGTTTTGTTTATAATTCGTTTGCAGAATGGTGCTCAATCCCAGATGTGAGATATGGAATTATTTTGATAATATCGTTGAAGAAGGGGTTGCAGTGTGTAAATTGTGTAAACAGCGCTTGAAAAACGAACGAAGCTACAGTTTGAGGAAACACATCAATAAACTGCACAATCCCAACAGTGAGATATGGAAACATTTTGATAATGTTGTGGATGAATGTGTGGCGGTATGTAAAATATGCCAGAAACGGGTACGTAACAACCGGCACTTTAACTTAATACTGCATCTAAAACAACACGATATCATTGTGGACATTGTCGACAAGGGAAATGAAACATCGTCGTCGAAAAAAATCAATATTAATTCTAAGTCAAGCAATAGGCCTCAGCAAGTTGAAAAGATCAAAGGTAATTTATATATTGAAATGGGAGAGAAAAAATTAGTGTCTGCCGTTATGGGTCTTATGGTGGAGGAAGACTTAGGCCCCCAGATATTTGGTTCGAAAAATATGCAGGCCCTTTTAAGTCCGGTATGCAGTGCCATATCGAAACAGCAAGTTACAAGATTTAATGTGGATGAAATCCAAAGCAAGAAAGTTCTTTCCACTGTGGCCAATCATATACGCAACGAGTTCTGTAATGATTTGTACTGGCGTCTATTGTCTCTTAAAATCGACATGGACGTGAATGCTCCAGTTAAGTCATTTTGTCTAAGTGTGCAATTTATACATGAAATGCAATTGGAAAATCGTAATCTGAGCGTAATAACTCTAGCCGACAAGGAACAGCTAACGGCTCAACATATTAAACCCCTTCTGCAACAGTTCAATATTGATACTAATCAAATTGTTAGTGCCTGTTGGGACAATACCAAGGAAAACTATAACCTATCAGTATCCAACTCGGAATATTTAACAGAAATAGACAATTTCGAAAGAAATCCTGGAATAAACTTGGGCGATATAAAGGTGGAACGTTATATTGGTGTAATTGCCCAACTCTGTGTTATGGATGTTCTCAAAAACCCCAATATATTTAAACTGTTTCTGGAATGTCGTAATTTGACCAAAAGTATTAATGACGAAGCAAATATATTCTATGTATTATTTAAAGAAAACAATTTGAATATACCTCAATTGGATTCACCCTGGAAATGGGGTTCAACTTACAGCATGTTAAACGATTTGAGAGAAGCTCGCTCTGTATTGGAAAATATAACTTGCGATCAACTCGATCAGGAAGATCAATTTGATCTTAATGATAATCTATTGGACTTTATTGAGGCCTTTTGTAAATCATTAAGCTATGTGCAAAAAGCTCTGCTAAAATTTTACAATGAAGAAATGCTTTTTGGAGATTTTTATATACAATGGTTAAAGTGTAAGCTTTTAACGCAAAAGCTTCTCAAAGCTCAGGCCAAACAAGGCAATCATTTGGAACTGATTTTATCGGAACTTGTAAAATGTATTGAAAACCGATCAAATGAGCTTTTAAATCAAGATCCTTTTAAGGCCTGCTTATATTTGGATCCACGTTTACAGCATACTTTAAATTTGCCCGAAAAAATGTTTGCCATAGAGTATCTAAAACAATTATGGGATCGCTCGAAAATATACAATGCTGAACTTGTGGATCCAGTCGCAGAAAGTAAAAATCATATGACTTTGCCTGAACAACAGCCTGACGAAGATGATGAAGATGCCTGCCTTAATGAATTTCTATGTCAGGGAATTCAAGATGCCGAAACCTCAGGGATTTATAAAAAACTTGAAGAATTAAAATTACCATTTCTAAATGCCAATACGGACATATTATCGTTTTGGAAAGATCAGAAAGTGTCTGAACCGCAGCTTTATACTTTAAGTACGGTATGCTTTGCAATGCCTGCCACCCAGGTAAGTTTATGATCGGTTCTATATGTTATCGTTTGAAAATATACTACAACAATTCTATAGTTTTATTAATAAACTTTTCCATTTCACTTTTTTGTTTCTTTCTAACAGATTTACAATAAAATTCGTTATTCTCAACACGATCTTTCCAATGAGACTTCGTATGTGAAAGGAAATCTTGGTTTTATTCGCTTAAATGAACCTCTTTTAGACAATGCCATACAGACGTTGGGTCTATTTAGAGACGATGATTCATCGGATAATGAACAATCAGATGTATCTGAGGATAACAGTGAAAGTTTATTCACTACGGACCCTATAACAGTTTGTCTTCCAACCACCTCAGCTCACGCCATGGGTATTCTAGGAGATATAATCATTAAATCCGAAATCGAGGACGTGAATATTGATTAGTTTTTTTTTAAGAAGTCATTTGTTTTGAGTTACTGTTACAGTAACATTAAATGGTATTAATGAAGTTAATATGTATAACATTTTAATTAAAATAAATGTTTAAATAATGAAATAACGTGTTTTCTGAAAGAGGCTTTATGGGGGCTAGGGGGAAAATGTGGACCGATAATTATAAGATTTGGTGAATACAATACGCTTACATGAAATGTATTTATATTGAATTTCATCGCGACATTTTTAAGCGATTTAAGAACATTTAACTCATTTTCTGAAGGGGTTCTTTGTATGAGGACTAGGGTCAAGTAAGGCCCTATCATTACAAAATTAGGCAGGGTTATCAAGACAAGTATAAAACTTAGTTGGGACGCTTTTTGTCGAGATACGAGTTATTAAAAGTTATTATGAGCTCAAATGCATTATTCGGGAGGTTCAGTTGTATGGGGGCTTAGTAAAATAAAGGACCGATATTAACCATTTTCAAAAAGCTTCGTCACTGGAAGTCAATAGATGATCATGTACAAAATTTCATTGAATTATCTTCGAAATTGCGACCTGTAGTTTCAGTGCAAGGGTTACATGGACGGACGGACATAGCTAAATCTACTCAGAAAATGATTTTAAGCCGATATGTTAAAACTACTTAAAGATTTCGTAATAAAATAACACATAATTAGGATTTTTGTACATTTTTACAATTCATTCCGAAATTTTCATCTCCCATATAAGGTCCACTTTTAAAAATCAATACCCCCCATACACGGTCCACACTGACAGAAAGAGATATCTCTATAAAATTCGATTGATTTTTAATTTCTTTCGAATGTTTTCAAATTGTACTAGAAACAGTTAAAAATGTCTTTTTGAAATTGAAATATTTTATTGAATTTTGTCTGTTTCTGGTTGTCCTGGTTAATAGTGTAACAGGTTTGAGCAGCTGTAATCCTATGGTATTAGTCTACTTTAAATCTACGTGTTAATTTTTACAAATTGTAATAAAAATGTTATGGTAGATATGTCCAATCCGAATAAAATATCGCAGAATGATTTATCGATACACAAAATATACTATAACGGATTTTGTTCATATATACTTGTATGTTAATGAAATATATGGGGTAAAATGACTTAAGGAAATGGATCTTATATGAGAGCTTTGACCAATTATGGACAGATTTCTTTATTAGTTATGTGCTTTTAAGTGATTTTCGGAAGTGGATCCGGAAAAAATTTCGCAGGGTGTTTTATATGTACTTTAAACACATTCATGATGAATTTTATACCGATCTTTATTCAATAATGAAATATGTGCGTTTAGGTGGTTATCGGCAATAGGACTTATATGGCAGCTATGCCCAATTATGGACCAATCCGAAAAATATTTTGCAGAGAGATGTATGTATAAACAAAACATACTTATGTCGAATATTATTCCAATGTCTTTGTTACTTCATTAGTTATGTAGATTTAAGTGGTTTTCGGAAGTGGACCGTATATGGGAGCTATAACTATTTGTGGACCGATACAGATTTACGTTGGTAATATGATTTCAGTTTATATTATATACATATGTGCAAAATCGTGGTGATACCGATATTTTCAATGAAGTTATTAACGATAAACTCAATTTTGACAACATGTACCTTTGTATGGGGGTTATGGGAAATTTTAGACTGATTGTTCTGAGTTTGAACGTCATTGATCCCTGTGCAAAATAAATAATGTGTGATAGAATTCATTGAATAATCTTTGGTAATTTCTGAGAAAACTACTCGAGAATTAGGAAAAAAACTTAATTTTTTTCGAGGTAGTCTGAAAATTTTACTCATAACTTTTTATGTTGTGAACCGATTTTGCTGATTTTCAATACCAAACTGCTCAGGCCAATAATGAAAATTTTCGGAGAACTTGAGGTTGATTTCCTTTGCTTACTTTTAACGTGAGCGTATTTTATACAGATAGACATAGATTTGATTAGGACCCGGAATATATGTACATATATACTTTGTTGGGTCTAAGATGAATATTTCTTGGTGTTACATACGGCATGACAAACTTATATATATCATCTATCACCACTGATGGTGGTGGAAAGTATAATTATCAGGACCGGCGTCGCGGTCCAAGTTCGACGAAGTTGAAAATTCAACTGTTTTTCGAATAAAGAATTTAAGTCATTCAAAATTCGCAGATTCCTAACATTTTAGTGATATCAATTTCTGCATCAATCTTTGAAATTTAATACTTATATTTAGGTAAAAAATACAAATTAAATTTATTAAAATCAATTTAATTTTTATTAAAATCAATCAAAACGCAAAAAAGTGCTGGAATTATTATACAACTGTCACAGGTGAAGATCTTTAATTATAATTAAATTCAAAGTGATTTTGAGAAGTAAACACTTATATTTATATACATTTACATGCATATGTATGTACATTAGGGTGGCCCGTTTGCATGGAGGAAAAATAAGGGGTCGATGTTTTGAATATCGCACGGTTGTGACTAGAGCTTGGAATCTAATAAGTACCCAGAACAAATACATACATATGTATATAAAAATATAAATTAATGTGAAGAATTAGTATTAACCTGGGCTAGAACCATTAACCTTTTATACAACTGAATAAAATAATATGGTTACCACTCATTACCAAGTAATGTATGAAATAACTACTTGGTAATTACAAAAATCATAAAATTCTTAGTAGATATTTCTATCTTTATGGATTTATTCTAATTTTTTGATAATAAAAGTAATATCATAACATATAGTTTTGGAGCCGATCTAGTTACATTTGTATGTCCAACTTTCCTTTTATGAGCCGTTTTAATATAAATATGTATGTATCAATATCTATAGTCGTTGTTTGTCTAGGGCAGTTACATTATGTTGTTGTTTTTCTTATAACAAAAGTATTTTTAAATTAATTATAAAATCTTTAAAAATAGATTCGTAATTAATTCAAATAAAAAAATCTGTCTGGCGCACGTAGAATATTGATTAGAAATATAATCAGACTTACATAAAATATAATCATAACAATAATAGCAAGTTTTAAATTAATAAAAAAACAAATTGTGGTTTTTGAACGACTTCTGTGGTAGCTACTACTAATCTTTAGTATCCAGTAAATAATTAAAAAAGAAAAATATAACATCTTAATATTATTTTTTCTCTTTATGTAACGATCAAGTACACTGTGATCAGCAAATCCGTATGATAATAAGTTCAAATGAGCTAATTTTAACTCGAAAGCAAATAGACAAACAGGCAAAATTTTTGGTTGGAAATTTAATAATTCCTCAGTTAAACTATTTATTATTAGTCATATAAAGTAGGGTACCTAAAAATATAATAACAAAATATATACATAAATAAAATAGCATGCAAAATGCGGCGCAAAACAATTTAATCGTTCCAAAAGGTGTGTCTAACAAAAATTAAGTTTTAAGCCCCTCTGGTGCAAAAAAAAAAACAAAAAACAAATCAAAACAATATTTACAGAAATAACTCGTTGAAAATGGTAACAAAATCAAAATACCGGAGATGGGTAGTAGAGAAAAATAATGCTTCCCTAAAAATACGTAAAATTTTGTCTATTTTTATCCTGGAAAATAGGTTTGCTGAAAAAATGCACATAAATTTCTCTAGATTGCTTAATTAAATAGCATATATATCGTTAGATAGGTAGTTCTTAGCTTCTTCATTATAAATTCGTATAGGTAGAATTTGGTGTTACTGGCTGTTAAGTGCATAAAGGATACTCAAGATTTTGGAAGTGTTTGGAAAGTCTCTAAAACGGATTCTTTTTATACTCGGAAACACCTTCAAACAAGGGTTAAACCTTTATTTAAAAGTCGACGGCTTAAACTTTCGCATGACATAACAAGATGACAAACAAAGATGTCATTTCAAATATGCTAAAAACGGGATTTTTACAAATTAGATATCTCGAAAACCTGATTGGATTTAGAAGACAAATTCGAATACTGCTGTGGAAATGTATGTACCTATAAACTCGGCTCTGGATTAAAAATTTGTTGGCCTGTGTTATAAACGTTCTAGGAAATCAATGAAAATTTTTATCTATCCTCAGGAATAAAAAAACGCCCGTAAAATTTATAGGTAATTCTAAATTAAACGGTTGGTTATGTTATAAAGGAATTTAATCAATACCGAATACAATTACCATCCCTGCAACAGCACAAAAAACTAAAAAAAATATCAAAAACAACAACTATACCTATAAGCTTTAAACCACAATAAAGTGTATAAGAAGCTGTCACAGATGGTTTTCAGTCTCATAAATTAAACGCGATCGTGTAGAAGAAAATTTAAAATAAACAAACGAGGTGAAAGAAGAAAACAAAAATAATGTGTTTGTCCATCATTATTATTATAACTTTTATTGTTGTTGTTCTTGTTTTACTGTTGCCATTCTTGTTGTTATTTTACATTTTTGTTTTTCTTTCATATACCTAGTTTTTTTGTCTTCAACCTAAACTTTGTTTTTATCCCTTCTTCTGTTGTTGTCTTCAAGAACTTGTAACAGTTGCTTGAAAGAGTGACTTTCTCAATTTGAAAATCTGAAAGATTTTGAAAGTTGTTGCAAAAATTGAGAGTCAAGAATTTGCTTTATATCCGATTCATTGTTAGAAGTCTAGAAAATCATGATAACAAAAGGGTTCTACAAGTAATACCGTACACAGAGGGAAAAAGAAATATACACGCTTGGTACCAAATTGGCACCAAAGAGTTTGTAATTTTTCAATAACAACCGTTGTCAAAGTATATACATACGTACGACAACACTATGTCGCAACGTTGTCAACATTGCAACAATTCGTTGTCGAAATCTAAATTTTTTACACATACGTTGTCTAAATGTTAACAAACGTGGTAAGTTCACTATTGCAAACAATCCGTTGCCAATAGTGAGCTTACCACGTTTGTTAACATTTAGACAACGTATGTGTAAAAAATTTAGATTTCGACAACGAATTGTTGCAATGTTGACAACGTTGCGACATAGTGTTGTCGTACGTATGTATATACTTCGACAACGGTTGTTATTGAAAAATT